GAGAGAGAGAGAGATGCATTAGATCTTTATCCTCTTGGGGTGTGAATTTAATAAAAACTACAAAGATAGAGAGAGAAAACAAAGAAGGTTGAGCAGGTGAGGGAAATGGGTCTCAATTTTCAGGGAGTATATTCATGGAGAGTAGGTCCAAAATTACAGGGAGTAGGCCCACCAAGAGTGAGTGACTCCTTGTCCTCTGCAAAACCCATTTTTAATTATGTTCATGGGAACAAATTCCTCCGGTGAGAAAAGGCAACGAATCTGCAAGCTTAGTGAAGCTTTGTGCAAAGTGCAAACCCATTGCAAGTTTATGAGCAAAGATGTAATAAGGTTTTGACATCTAGGGTTTAAAGAGAGATAGAGTTCGCAAGAACCAAATCCCATCAATATTATGATGGAAAATGGAAAGCCGCCCAATGTTCCTTTTGGTATTCCAAAAATTCAATTCATAGTTGAAATTTTTGGGATTTGAATATTAGGTGGTTACTTAAATCTTAAAAGATATGTTTTGACCCTAACAATCAGGGTTTATAAACTTTCATAATTCAAATTATGTTATATTCTATATTATCTTTAGATATTAGGATATTAGGGTGGTACCAAACATACCCTAAAGGATTGGTAAGCCCCAAAAGTCAGTCACAAATTAAGTGAATCATGACCATCCTTCTCAATTAATTTCCCTCAAACAAACTAAGGACTAAATCAAAGTTTAAAAGTAGATAGACGCAAAAGTATATTTTGCATCTTTATTTTCATGAGGACGACAGGTTTTCAGGCTAAATACTTCAAAAATATAAACTTTAAAAATGGACAAATAAATCATCACATAATTTCCAGAAGGGCCATAGAGAGTATGAAATCTATAGATTACGGATATAACCAAGGAATAAAAAAGAGCATAAGACATACCCAAGGAAAATACCAAATTGACAGGTTAGTGTGAGCTTATCCATGCGGTTATACACTCTTCAAAAAGGAATCAATTTTTTGAAAGATCTTGGCTTTCATGTTTTGGTGGGTTGTCTGAGATCCTTTCAATGACCTATGTTGAAGGGATATCTATATTATCCGATCGATTGCGTAAGGCCTGCGGTAGCAACGGAACCGGGGAAAGTTTAGAAAAAAGACAATTATTTTTTATTATATTATTATACTATTATATTAGTTAGTGATCCCGGCTCTGTGAGTCCTTTCTTTCGTGATGAACTGTTGGCACCAGTTATACATTTTGTCTTTGTGGGCCGAGGAGAAAGTGGGGGCTCAGCGGGAAGAGGATTGTATAGATATAGAAGGAGAGGGATAAAGACGTACCTTTTATTACTTCATTTTTTATCTTCAACAATATGGTCTTGTTAGGCTTTCAGTCAGAGAGAGTAAGAGGAATAGTGAGTATGATGAAACTTGTAATCAGTAGAGAGAGATATTGAAAAGAAATGGTGTAAAAAGAGATGTTGGTGAGGATAGTAAAGAGAGAATGAGTGATAGTAGAGAGAATGAGGAAAGAGAAAATGAATGAGAGAAAACAATGTTGATATTCTACTTGTAGTGTTTGGTAGCGGTAGTTATATGAGGTTCGAATTTTGAATATTGTTATTTAGACACACCTTTTCATCTTGGGTGTTTTCTAGGCAGTTGGGATTTTAAAAACTCACACTTTTCAAAAGACGTCTCTATCTCTATCTAGAAAGAGATTTTGTAGGAAACCATTCTATCTCTCATCTGGGTGTGTCTTTTTGGCAGTTTGGATTTTAAAAACTCACACCTTTTTAAAAGATGTCTCTTGTCTATCTAGAGAGAGATTTTTAAGGAAACCATTCTCACACATATTTTTCGCTCTTCCCCTCTCTCTCACGTGTTTCTCTATATGTCACTTCTCTCTCTCATTTGTTGTTTTCGTACTTTTTCTCCTCTGAAATATCTCACTTTTATCCTTCCTAAATCTCATATTCCTTTCACTACCTCTCTCACGTATTTCTCTCTATATCTCTGAACTTTGGTACAAAATGATAGCTATTGTTGTTGTTTTCAAGTTCTTTTTAAGTTTTGTTTTGTTTTGTTTTTGTTTATTTTTTTATTTTTTTTTGTGGGGGGTTTTGGTGAGGAAATTCAATGAGTTTTTTTTTTTTTGGGTTTTGGTGAAGAGATTCAACGATTTGAGGAAATGTTGTTTATTTTTCTCTGGGATGGTAAGGAGATGCGCCCTTTACTTTTGTTTCTCTCATATTAGTTATCTCGATTTCTTCACACAATCTCCACCCTTAACACCTATTTAAAGTCACTTGCCCTACCTTATTTCGAGGCATAGGGTCCATTTTTTTTTTTTGATACTTGTCCACCCCTTAATATTTGCTTAATCATATAGTAGTAGATATATGATGATATCCATTCTTAATGTCAGAGAAAACAACCAATGCAGTTAATAATAGTTAGCAAGGTTAGGTTTTTGCTTTACTGAAACTTAAAAATGGGCTAAGGGATACTTCTGTTTCCACTTTTCCTTTGCTTATATACCGTGAAAGCACGTAATGGCATCTAACTCACATGACCACACCTTCCTGACCCCCTATTACTTGCATACATCTCTTTAGTAAAACTAAGTAATTTCATGAGCTTACTCTCGGCTTCCTCATTGAAACCTCTTGCTGCTTGTGGTTATATCCTGCATTTGGCAGGTGGCTAATAGTTCCATCTAATATAGTCCCCTACAAAGAAAAATAATAAGCCACAGTTCTCTGTAGGGAATAGTTTTTCTTTTTGAGGGATATTAGGGAATAAACTTTCTAAATGCAGTTCTTCTCTATTGTCTATTGGTCTCTTATAATTTGCGACCTTGTTGTGTGTTTGCCTTTTTGATAGTTCACTACTAATGTCACTTGCCTGTTTTCAACATGATCATACAAGCACAGTAGGTTTCCAATCTTCCCATACTTTTGTTTTGTGATAAAAAAACATACTTTTGTTTCTTTATTGATTGTTTGTTTTTCTTGATGTTATAATGTGTAAATGGTTTTCCCTCCCTGATTTACCGTCTGTTGATCAGTCTTCTCTTCTCACTAAGGCTGCATTGGAGCAACGTAATCCCTTTCTTCATTGTCTTCTAGATATTAGCCTAAAGTCTAATGTATGGTAGCAATAATCTTTATTTTTGATGAATGAAACCATTTTCCCAATAAACTAATTGCTGCATTTTGAGATCAGTGATATTTCTGCTTGGCAGGTATGGGAGCAAAAGGCCTTGGTCTTCCAGGAAAATCTACAAATGTTAAAGTCATACTTAATGGTGGCCAAAGAGTTGCTTTTATCAGACCAGATGGTTATTTTTCTTTGTATCCATTCCCATATTGTAGGATTGCTTTATGCTATTCTCGTCATATTTGCATCTAAGTTATCCTTTGAAATTTTGTATTATATTTAATTGCTTTCTTTCGGTGTTTCAATTTTTTTTTAAAACTCGGGACTCATGTGAGGCGATCTGCTTTTGGTTACCTGACAAATCTCGTGGTTGAGTCTGTCAATTTATGCCGTTTTCCAATAGACTTAGTTGAATTGAGTCGATATGATTCAGCTCTGGGCCTGTCTGAGTCTGAAGCTGAGTCAGTGGTTTTAAAACATTCCTTACTTTTCCTCTCATTGTAAATTATTACTTAATGGGTGCGGTTTGTATAGAGCCTAGGCTCTAAACAATCAAATTAGAGCCTACCTTCAATTAGTGTCGAGAAATGTGGTTTCCGTACTGGAAATCTTTGTGATAGCCTTAAAGTATATTTTCATTTTTATTTATAAAGTTTAAAGCTTAAAAAATAGTGTAGATCAACAGATCTATGAAAACTTGAAAATGTTGAAAATTGACAGTCCAAAAATGCGTTACAAAATACACTATTTTCAAAAGTTTAAATCTATTTTTTTATCATGTCTATGCATCTTGATGCTGTGATGATCAATTTGAGGATATTTAGGCTTCAAAACAACCTCTTCTAGTGAAATTTTTGAGGTTAGGCTCAAATTTGATTGTTTTGAGCCTTGGCTCTATATAAACTTTTCCCTGACTTAATTAACCTTTGCTTTTAAACTTATTTTGATCAATGACCTTTCCGCATGAAATTTTTATCAATTGTGCTTTTGTGTAATTACATTACCCTCTATTCACACAACAAACTTTTTAGAGTTTGATTGAGAAATAATCACAGGGACAGAATTAGATCCTTAGACAAGCAATTGAGTAAAATCTATCCAATGGTTATCATTTGTTGCTTTGGGGAGATTGTATTGATGAATTTCAACAAAACCCTATGTAATTTAGATACCAGGTTAACCAACATTGCACAATTCATACCTTATTTCCTTAGCCATTCCATGCAGTGGATATTAATGTGGCTTGTCATCCTTCATTTGAGGTATTAAAAATAGAGTAAAATGCATCACTGAAAAGAAACCTACTTATTTTGTCACGATATAACCATTTGATAATTAAAATCAGGATTGTAACAAATCAGAAGATAGAAATCATACAATGAGGTTTGGATTCCTACTTATTTTGTCACGATAGAACCATTTGATAATTATAATCAGGATTGTAACAAATCAGAAGATAGAAATTATATAATGAGGTTTGGATTCCTTGACTTGTTATGCAAAAGCCATGGTGTACCGGCCGGAACACATCTTATTGAAGTAGCAGCTCTAGGTTACTTCTTTTCTCCGGTAATGGCCACCGCACTGAAGATTCCATGTTTTCCTTCATGATGTAGGCATGATGCAGATTTCACAGTTCTTTTTTTTTTTCTCAATTCAATTTTATTGCCAGGTTCGTATAGATGTCAGTTCTAGAAATCCTGGTAAGGTTCAGGCTGCATTAACAGAAAACAGGAGGACACTGAATGAGCTAGTGTTAGAACCTCTGCAAGAAGAATCTTATTATGAGGTGAATAGCCCATTTTTCTGTTATTATTTTTTATTATTTTATTACTATGTCGAATATGTAACAGTAAAAAAATAAAAATATGTATTGACTACGTAACAAATTTATTTTATTTTTTTAAATGAAACTGTGTTGACTATGTCGTTGTCATTTGAGGAGCTCAATTCTCACTATTTTTATTTGCAGATAAGAGAGCCCTTCTCCATTATATCTCTTGTGAAGAGCCCCATGGGTTTGATGGTGGGCTTCATGCTGGTTGCTGTTTTCCTGCTACCCAAACTGATGGAGAACTTGGGTATGTCCATTCTCTCTTTCTCAATTTTATTCGTCTATGGTGTTGATGGTGGACCATTAACGGGTGACTTTTTCACTTGAACCAGTCTCTAAAAATTAATCCTGCTTGGTGACAGATTTTATTAATGAGATAGTGAGTTTTAACTTACGATTCGGTCATGTCCTCAGATACTGAAGAAATGAGAAGGGCCCAAGAAGAAATGCAGAATCAAGGTGTTCCCTCCCTTTCAAATTTGTTGCCAGGGAGGAGCAATAACTGAGATCTCTGCTGGAAACAAGCTGGTGCTTCCTCAAACCTTTTCATGCAAATATCTCAAAACGCATCAATGGGACTGGTGATGGTTTTCCGCTACTGAGTTTAGGCGCCTTGCCCTCTTCAGTTCTCTCTGCCATGTTTTTTTTTTTACTTGTTTTTTCAGTAGGTGAACTGGGTTCGAACCCTGAACCTCAGTTATGTGGCAACAAGCACCTCTAGATGAGCCATTGGGCTTAAATGCTTATAGGTTAGGTTGGTTTTGTTCATTCTTCAGAGAAACTTCCGACATTGGAACTGTTGACCACCTTCATGTAATCCCGTTGTTTACCACTAGAGTAAACCCTAAAAGGGATTTTCCCTTTCCGGATCTGGATTTATATCATGTTGTGCAAATTTCTTTCCATGAACTACTAATACAGGTTTTGGTACATTACATGATTTATATATTAAAATTTTCATTTTCTTGAAAGAATTGATTATAAACGTCTGCTGGATCCTGGAAACTTATATAAACACCTCAAGATTGCAAAGATCTCTTTCTCAAAGGGCTAGATTACCGAATGCCTTGAAGAGTTGTTTATATAATTTTGGCCGCCTCCACATAAGTGGAGCCAAATTCTGGAAACCCCATGCACGTTTCCATATCCGGAATAGATTTCAAGGGGGTAGCCAAGGAATCTTGTATTCACTGCAATTCTAAATTGGTTGATTCCTGTACCTTGATGATTTTCAGGTGGTTATGACCTTTTTTTTTTTTTGGATATTTTCTAATATTAGATTTGGGACAAACTACTCACTCCTTCAGCCAGGACTGAAAGTTTTGCTGAAGTGGTGGCGTATTGGCCTATTTCTTCTCTATAATCTTACGTTTTACTTTCAAGAAATGTTTTGGAAATTTATAGGCTTGAGGTTCTTTCCGAACCATAACAATAAGGAAAGAAGGGTGATTCTTTTTGGTCAGTGAAAAGTTTTTGGGAGTGGTTCTCTATCCGTTCACATTTTAGATATCTTGATAAATGGAATTGTATATAATGAGAGGGTACAAAGAGGTCATGATTGTTAATATCTATTAGATCTCAAATTGAATGGCTTTACGTGCATCACAAAGTTTGAAAAAGTTTTTTAGAACATGACACATTTAATTTGAGATTTAATGGATAAGAACAATTGTGACCTTGTATTAAAAGTAAACGGTTACTTTTTTTTAAAAAATTGACATGTTAAGTTTGCATTTCAAAACATCTTGTATTAAAAGTAAATAGTTATTTTTCCTTAAAAAATTGAAATATTAAGTTTAACTGTGAGATTGGGGTGGTCATATAAAGTCGTGACGCCTACTTCTTTGAAGATGAGTTCCTCGTAGTAAAAACAAGTCGCAAACAAACATATCTCTATGAGATTGTTAGTAACAAGGTTGAGTCTCGAAAACCCGAACCACCACTTATGAGAAGTACCCGAATTATAAGACAACCTAAAATTGACCTTGTGCTAAGCTGCAGACTAATCAGATTGATGCGTATCCCATCGTTAATTTGGTAAAATAAAAGAAAGTGCATATAATATGTTGCTTCAAGAGCATATTGTCTATCTACTCCCTCAGGCATAAATTTACTTGGGATATTTTTTTGATCTAAAATTTTAGAAATTACGTAAGAATCACCGTATGATTATTTTCAAAAGAAAAAAAAAATTTGAATTTTGAGTTTTCTAAGACTTCAAATTTGAGATAATAACTTTTTTGTAGTGCATAGTGTAAGATTTGGAAATTTTCTTTTGTGAGGTTTGCTATTGGTTGACGAAGGTATATTCCCAAAAATTAGGATCGTAAAATTACTCCTATATTGAGTTTTACTTGGAAGGAGTATCCTAAAATTATTCCTTAATTTACCTCAACGAGTAAAAGGAAATTACCCCCTATAAGACTATGAAATCCTTTGATAATATAAAATAAGCCAAGTAGTGCCATGGAAGTGGTGGAAATGTTGGAATGACTTGGCACCTATCATTTTCAGTCTACACTGTCTACTCCATGTGGAAGCAGTTTTTTGTTTTTTTTAATCTAATTGTGCCTTGCGCACTAAGCCAAGACAGGTCATAATTATTATCTATGACTATTAGATGTGATGTGGAATTAGATGTTGGCATGTAATTCATTGGGTATAAAACTATAAACGTTAAAGGAAAAACATATTATAAGACTATTTATCTTTTGTACGTGGTCCCTATTAATTTTGACTGTTGAATGTGAAATTGAATGGTTACAATAATTGTATTAATCAAGCCTAAAGTTCAATTTTTTTTTTTCACAGTTTGTGACATACCGAAACTATTAGATTTTACATCGAATGGTTATAAGTGATTGTGACCTTTTTATTCCAATAATATACAACCCCAAACTATGAAGGCTAAAATAAGATTTATCGAATAATATGATACTTTTTTTTTTTTGAGTAAATTAGTAGGGAGAGATGGCCCCATCTGTTTTTCATTATATAAAAATAGAAAAGATACAGTGTTAACCAGGACAAGTGAGCCAAAATTTACATCATAATATGACACTTCAATAGGTTAAACTTTACATCATTGAAAAGTAACTTTTGACCTTAATATCCCAAAAGTAAATAACCTTATAATATATAATTTCCTATATTTTTCTTTCAACTTATTTGCAAGAAGCCATGTTTTTATATTTAATTTTTTTGGAAACTTATTTGTAGTTTTAGTTATGTCTTGAAGTGAAAAAAAAAAGTTGCTTTTAAATGACTTGAGCTAAAGAAGGGAGCGCAAGTTTCCTAAGCGTTTCAAGTCACGCAATCTTCACTAGTCGCAAGCAAAATAAAAGAACCAAACAAATATGCTCCTTTACAACAACCTTTCTGCACAAATATTTGACAAAAATTTCGAAAAAAAATTAAATTTTATTGCAAATGACTCTAAATGAAAAGAATTACACTCTTACTTTACATGTCACACGTGCCAATTATGCACACAGTGCCGGTTAACCAGCGAAGCTGAGGGCCTAATGGTGATCAAATGAGAGGAGGGGATGAGAATGAGAGTGCGAGCCCCCTAAATGGGGATAGAAGCGAATGAGGAGGTCATAGAAGAGTACGTAAGCGATGACATGGGCCCACGTTTGCGTGCCAAGTCATCGATGTCTCGCACGATGTTGAACACGGCATCTGGCTGCGCCAAGCGCCGTGCGCACTCAGACATCTGCATTAGCTCCTCCACCTTGGGCCCGAACCACTCTCCAACAGTGTTGGCGGTGTCCTTGGGACTCTTTGAGAACACCCCAGCGCCGTTCTCGACAACGTAGGGCACATTGCCGACTTCCTGTTGGCACACATAAAATGAAAGGTATTTTGGTTATTTTTTATTTTATGGAGGAGCTACAAATTGAATGGTTTTTTAGTTTTTATTTTATTTTATTTCATGGAGGAGCCACGTAAAATGAAAGGTATTTTAGTCATTATTATTTTATGCCAAAGCCAAAGGTAAGGGTGGCAATTGTCCATGTAGCAATGGCCAAAACCAAAGGAAGGAAAAAATAAAAGAACATACAAGAAGAAAAGAGGTCCGGCCCGAACCGAGCTTACACTGACCTTAGCCAAGCCCAGCCCAGCCCTCGGTCCATAGTTCATGGCCCAAGCCCTACTTTTTTAGGGCTGGGACCGGGCCGCCTGGCCCATTGCCAGTCATAATGTCTTGAGATGTTAGGATATTGTTGTCGTGTATCTACTAGTACCGGGGTACAATAAAGTTTGTTTTGAGTAGTATCAATTATCAAATAGAGATCTCACCTGTCCAGGAATGAAATCGTTGAGGATAATAGGGAGTCCTCTTACGAGAGCCTCAGCAATTGTACCTGGCCCTGCCTGAAACCCCAACAAATCAAAAAGTTAGAAATTGAGATAAGGATAGAAAGAGAGGACTGAATCCAGTGCAAAATTCTAACGAAGAACAGTGAAAACACACTGATAAAATACCTTTGTTATTATGCAATCACAAGCTCCCATCCATTTCTCCATTTGGGTCTCAAACCCCCTTATCTGTGATTGAAAGATACATCATGTTCTTGTTGTAGAGAGAGAGAGAGAGAGGTCACTCAATTTGGAGCAAGCTAACCCACAAAACCAGTATAAAGAGCAAGAGACTTTTTAACAAAAATTGAAAAGAATTACCTTCACAGGCACTTTCCATTCAAATGCTTGTAAAGCAGAAGCAAGCATCTGGTTTCGACCACATATTATGACAATTTGGCCAATGGGTCTAGAGAGAGATTGATCAAAGAGAGCATCTCCAAGAGCTTTTGCTGTTTTCTTAACAGGGCCCATCCCTTCTCCCCCTCCCATGAGCAAAACAGCAGGCAAAGCCATGTCCATCTCCAACTCCTCTCTCAACTCTTCCTGTGAGGGCACATATGTAGCATGGCATCGATGAATTCGCTACGAAATTGAGTGTCCTAGAGAGAGAAATAAGTTTAGAAACAAACCTTGGAGAGGAGGGGCCTGCAGAAAGAAGGGCGAATGGGGAGGCCGAAGACTCGGACCTGATCGGACTCAAGGCCTTTGAGCAATGCCCTCTTGGCCACCTCCTCTGAAGGGCAGTAGCATCTGGTCACACTTGTGTTGAACCTTCAAAAAATTCAGATTTCCAGAATTAATAAAAAATGAGATAGATGGCACTAAGACACCAGTTCTTAGAATAATGAATTTCAGGTTCAGCTGTGTGTGTGTAGTTGGGAAGGGGGGAGAACTTGGACTTGGGGCAAGTGGGACATGTGGGGCAGCGCAGGTAGAGAGAGAGAGAGAGACTTGGGGAAAGTGGGAAATAATCATGTGGGGTAGCCCAGGTTTGAAACCTGTATTGACTGTGACAACAGAGAGAGAGAGAGAGAAAGAGAGATGGAAGTTAGGGCAACTAACCATGTAGGGTGGCAGGTGTTGAGATCTGTAATGACTGTGACAAAAACTACTTTCTTATGGAGTTCCTGCCATTTGAGCACCCAAAGGGGAATATGCTGCATGAGAGGGTGAACACTTATGATTATATCAGGCTTGTACTTCATTAGACCAGCCTCCACCTTTCTACAAACACATCACAGCAAACAAAAACAAATTCAGTTTCTCTCTCCTTGAAAATAACTAAACTTTATAAAAAAAAAAAACAAAATCACAACAAACCAAAGCACATTCACTTTCTCTCTCCTAATATATCAGTAGATCCAAATCAGTGCCCACATGTAAAATCCAATTCTGATTCCAAGCATCTCTTAGTAAAACACACACTCTCTCTCTCGTTTAAAATCAAATTATATTTCCAAGCATCTCTTAGAAAAACTCTCTCTCTCTAGAACACGAATTTTGGATACAGCTATTGACAGCAAACAAGAGATGGGGGACCAAAAGAGGAGTGGCCCATCAATAATTCAAATTCCATTGAGATATTAAAATAGCAAATCAAATGAGCCAAGGTTATAATTTGGAATTTAGTGAGAGAAAGGGAAGTAAGAATTACTTTGCATAATATGCTGCTAGAGCTGCAAGATAAACACAGTGGACCCAACTTGGGGAGGTTCCATGAAAGGCAACCTTCCATAGCTGTACATGCTTCACCATGAACTTATAAGACCTCTCCATATCATTCAGAGGCCAACCTGTATGTTCTTTCCACACATCCTTTACGAGGACCTACAAAATTTAGAGAGAGAGAGAGAGGTAATCATATCTTAATATTTAGAGAGAGAAAGAGCTTTACTGAGAAAAAGTTGAGCTTGAAAATGTTTAACCCTAGAGAGGAGATAAAATATACAGGAGAAAGACAGCATGTCAAGTCTCCTATTTACTCTCAATAGAAAACAGACGGGTGGAAGAGAGAGATGAACATACTCTGTAATCATCTCCATATTCATGATAGAAGGCATCTCGAATGGCCTCAGCTGAAGCTCGATGGCCACCGCCTGTGTCACTCATTAGAATGAGAACAGTCTTCGTTCGTTCGGCTCCCAGCTGCGTGAGCTCCGTTCCTCTCTCTTCTTCGAGCACGCCATATGAGCACCTGCTACTACTACGAGGAGAAAGAGAGAGGCTTTGAAGCACCTTTTCCGTTATCGATCTCCTCGGCGAAATCACTGTCATAACCATCTTGCTTTCCTCTTCATGTATTTTTTCTGTGCAGCCGCTTCCTACCTAAAAACTTTAAAAACAAACCCAATAAAGAGAGAGAACTGTAATATACTAGAAAACAATCCAAACTTTCAAAAGAGGATCATTAATTTGAGATTTGAGAATTGAGAATCAAACCCGCCTTTCTAATATCTAAAACGCTAGAGATCATATACTGCAACTTGCAAATCAAAACCCAACTTCCCAAATGAGAGAGAGAGAGAGAGAGAG